TCATCTGAATGTGAAATTAAAAGAGATGACGGGGGTCTACGTGAAGGCGTCTATGTGAGGAGTCTATGTGTGAGCATCTACATGAGGCATCTACATGAGGCGTCTACGTGTACTCGTCTACTGTGTGTAGGTCTACGTGAGGGAGTCTGTGTGTGGGTCTACGTGAGGGCGTCTGTGTGTGAGTCTACGTGAGGGAGTCTGTGTGTGGGTCCACGTGTGTGCATCTACTTGTGGGGGTCGTCTACGGGATGGGCTAATGTTTGTGCGTTTAATTGAGGGCATCTGTGTTGTGGGTCTACGTGAAGGGTCTATGTATGCGTGTCTACGTGAGGGTGTCTGTGTGGGTCTATGTGAGAGCCTTTACGTGAGGGGTCTAATTGTGTGTGTATACACGAGGACATCGCCATGAGGGGTCTGTGTGTGCGCGTCTAAGTGAGGGGTCTGTGTGGGTCTATGTGAGGGGTATATGTGTGTGCGTATACGCAAGGGTGTTTCTGTGAGGGGTCTGTGTTGTGGGTCCATATACGCTTGTCTATGTGAGGGTGTTTGTGTGTGGGTCTACGTGTGTGCATCTACATGAGGGCGTCTACGTGTGTGCGTCTACTTGCGGCAGTTTGTGTGTGCGCATCTACCTGAAGGCGTTAAGGTGAGTTCTATGTGTGTGCGTCTACGCGAGGGGTCTGTTTGTGTGCGTATACTTGTGGGCGTCTATGTGATGGGTGCTTTTAAATTAGGGTGTCTGTGTTGTGAGTCTACGTGAGGGGTCTATGTGTGTGCGTCTACGTGAGGTGCCTATGTGTGTGCGTCTACGTGAGAGGTCTATGTGTGTGTCTAAGTGAGGGGTCTGTGTGTGCGTGTACGTGAGAGTGTTCATGTGTGTGCGTATGCGCGAGAGTGTTCACGTGTGTGCGTCGAAGTGAGAGGTCTGTATGTTTGAGTATACGTGGGGGTCTATTTGTGTGCGTCCACTTGTGGGCGTCTCCCTGATGGCGTATACGTGAGAGCATTGAAGTGTGTGCGTATACGTGTGTGCATATACGTGAGGTTGTTTCCGTGAGGGGTCTATGTGTGTGCGTCTACGTGAGGGGTCTGTATGTGTGCGTATACGTGAGGGGTCTGTGTGTATGCGTATACGTGAGGGGTCTGTGTGTGCGTCTAAGTGAGATTTACATGTGTGTGCGTATACTTGAGGGGTCTGTGTGCGAGTCTACTTATGAGCGTCTAAGTGAGGGCGTTCATGTGTGTTTATGTACGTAAGGGCACCTGTGTGTGTGCGTCTACGTGAGAGCGTTCACGTGTGTGCGTATGCGTGAGGGCTATGTGTGTGTGTCTATGTGTGCGCGTCTGTGTGTGTGTGTGTACGTGAAGGGTCAATGTGCGTCTTAAGTGAGGCCGTCGAAGTGTAGGTCTACTTAACGGTCCTATATGTTTGCGTGATGGGTTTATGTGGTTGCGTCTACGTGAGGGGTCTGTGTGCGCGTCTACTTATGGGGGTCTAAGTGACGCCATCTACGTGAAAGCGTTCATGTGTGTAAGTACGTAAGGGCGCCTGTGTGTGAGTCTACAGGAGGGGTCTGCGCGGGTGTGTATGCGTGAGGGCGTCTGTGTGTGGGTCTACGTGATGGGTCTATGTGTGCACGTCTACGTGAGGCGTCTATGTATGTGAGTCTAAGATCTCTTAGATCTTTGTTACGCTAAAGTGTTTTCTTGATCATGGCACGTCCTTTTTTGGACGATCCTGTTGATGAAGAAGCGGTTTTACTTCGCAGGGTGTTAAACACATTGGGAGAGAATATTGAGGCCCTGATTAGATATATTGTCATTTCCAGATAGCTACTTGTTTGAACGGTATCGTTTTTCTTCACAGTCCATCAAATATGTACATAACCTCACCCGTCGTCATATAACTAACGTCCCCCATTGTGGACATGCTCTCACATACAAGCACATTCTTTGTATAGTATTACTTTTTTTTTCAAATGGCATTTTTCTTTACAACATTAGAATATTAGTAAAGCTGCTGTATGCAGAGCCTTGAGACGTGTGCCTCGCTCTGAAATATCTTTTAAACGTTTTTGTTGGAAAACAAACTAGTGACAGCCATTAAAGTGGAGTTCCACAGGATGCACCTGAATAAAATACATTATAGGTCCAATACCATTGTACCAGTTTTTACCAGCAATATTATTCTTGTGATTAAAAAAAAAGTCTAAAATTTAGACTTGAAAAGTGCTAGGGAAACATTCTTCTCCAACATCATCAACAACAACACTAATAAGGCAAAAACCCTATTTGAAACTGTTGACAGACTGACCAACCCCCCGACACAAATACCACCTGAACTCCATTCCACACAGAAATGCAACGAGTTTGCGTTCTTTTATACTGATAAAATTGAAGGCATCAGACGCGCCATTAATATCTCAAACAAAAATGTTGGATCACCACCCTATTTAGGCAAAAGTAACACAGCAATGATGACAAGCTTTAATGCCATAGACTCTCAAACTCTAGTGGAAACGGTGACAAATTTAAAACCATCCACCTGCTGTCTTGATGCTTTACCTACCAACTTCTTTAAGAATGTTTTTGACTGCCTAGCAACAGACGTATTGCAAATAGTTAATAACTCTATTCAGACAGGCCATTTCCCAAAAGCTTTCAAAACTGCAGTTATTAAACCTCTCCTAAAAAAGCAGAGCCTAGATGCCTCTATTATCAACAACTACAGACCAATTTCAAATCTACCTTTCATAAGTAAAATAATTGAGAAAGTTGTCCTACAACAACTTAATCACTTCCTGGCTTCAACTGGCTGCCACGACAACTTCCAGTCAGGATTTTGACCTCTTCATAGCACCGAGACGGCCCTTATTAAAGTTGTAAATGACATCCGTCTTAACACAGACTCTGGCAAAACTTCAATATTAATGCTATTAGACCTCAGTGCTGCATTTGATACTGTCGACCACTCAATACTTTTGGACAGGTTGGAAAACTGGGTGGGGCTCTCAGGCACAGTCTTAAGCTGGTTCAGATCATATCTACAAGACAGGAACTATTTTGTTTCCATTGGTGACTTCGTATCAGAAACAACCGACGTAACGTGTGGAGTCCTCCAAGGTTCGATCTTAGGGCCGACTTTATTCAACATCTACATGCTCCCACTAGGACAAATCATGCAAAGAAATAAAATTGACCACCATTGCTACGCTGATGACACCCAAATCTATGTAGCGCTATCACCAAACGACTATCGCCCCATAGATCTTCTGTGCCAGTGCATTGAGCAAATCAAAGACTGGATGTGTCAAAATTTCCTACAACTAAATGAAGACAAAACTGAGATCATTGTATTTGGTGCTAAAAAAGAAAGGTTTAAAGTAACCCAACACCTTCACTCTCTGTCCCTGAAAACATCAAATAAAGCCAGAAATCTGGGGGTTATTATGGATTCAGATTTACACTTGGAGAGTCACATCAAATCAGTAACAAAATCGGCCTACTACCACCTCAAAAATGTCGCACGACTTAGAGGGCTCATGTCAGCTCAAGACTTAGAAACACTTGTACATGCCTTTATAACTAGTAGTCTAGACTATTGTAATGGTCTCCTTGCAGGTCTTCCAAAAAAAACTGTCAGGCAGCTCCAGCTTGTTCAGAACGCTGCTGCTAGAGTTCTAACAAAGACCAAAAAATGTGAGCACATTACACCAATTCTTAAATCCTTACATTGGCTCCCAGTATGTCAGAGAATTAATTTCAAAATCCTACTGCTCACATATAAATCACTACATGGTTTAGGGCCGAAGTATATCACTGATATGCTTCCACTACATAAGCCTTCAAGATCACTAAGATCTTCTGACACCAATCTGTTAGTAATTCCCAGAGTAAATACAAATCATGGGAAAGCATCATTTAGTTACTACGCAACAAACAGCTGGAATAAACTTCCTGAAGATTTAAGACTTGCCCCAACTCTGACCACGTTTAAAACAAGACTGAAAACTTTTATGTTCAGCTTCGCCTTCTGCTAAATTTACCTACATTGCACTTTTAACCTCTGCTTTTAATTAAACAATTTAAATAAGATTTTAATTTATAATTTTATTTGCTGTTTTTAATTCTTTTAATTCCTGCATTTTATTTCACTTTATTGTATGAAATGTTATAATGTGAAGCACTTTGAGTCTGCCTTGTGTATGAAAAGTGCTATACAAATAAAATTGCCTTGCCTTGCCTTGCCTAAATGGGTGAGCATGGGTGTGTATTTCAAGCCTGTGTGTAGTGCATTCTAACAAACAGGGTGTAAAAAAATGTACTTTTCCCACTGG